GCACGCACAGAGACCACACATGGACATGCACACACACAGGGTGCACATTCATCTGTCCGTCTCATCGCGTTCTCTCTGAATCAGGGACGACCAGCCATGCGGGACACTGGATTCCTCGCACGCTTGGCGGCCAGCACATGAGCCTGCAAACCGCCAACAACAATTTGACAATGAGACGTCAGCGGGGGATCGAGCAGCAGATGATCGAGGCGCACAGAGCGGGGGCCGATATCCGAGTGCGAGTGCAGGAGTTCACTCCACATGGACAGCAGCAGGCTTTGTATCGGGACTACAGGGTCTTCATCAATCACCCCGACGGCAGGACGGAGAACCTCAAGAGGCACTGGCTGAACGCTATGCCGGCTCACTCCTGGAAAGACCTGCAGGCAGGTGGAATTGGCGCTGCGTTCTGCGACACGCACTACAAATGACACTGAGCGGTGTGCGTGTTGTGGCTCTGTGGGTGTATGGGGGAAGGAGCTGGTGTGTGCGTCGATGGCGTTGCCTCCGTGTGGGCATTAACTTCTTTTATCAAGGCAGTGTGTCTGTGAGCTGACAAAACCATAGGCTGAATGCTTGTGACAGAGAAGCGTGCAATGTTCTCTGTCTGGCTGGTGCGCGTGTGGTACGTGCCGTGAACCCGCTTGCGTGGTGCCCGGCACGTGTGCACTAAGTGACAAGTGTTTGAATCTCTTGGGCAGCCGCCAAGGCTGCGTGCGTGAGACTGACTTTTTTGGTGCAAGGCGCGGCAGCGAAGCTGTCGCCCTGCCCAGGTAGTAGTGTAGTAGCCCCTGTGTGTGTGTGTGGTGTGTGTAAACGAGTGCCTGCCCACTACGTGACTGCATTCGTGTGCTGCACCGGATTCTTTGTTCAAGAGCGTGACTGCCTGACTTTCTTGGACAGCCACAGCCACCAAGGCTGCATCCGTCTGTGTGGGGTGAAGGGCGACTTTTTCTCATGCATGTTGCATGTGGGAATGGCGAGGGGCTTTCAACGGGTGGGAACTGGTTGTTGTCTGTGTGTTCGCTGTCTGTGTGGCATTCCGCCCTTTTGGAGGAATAACACACGAGCTGACAATGCTGACACTGACCCTCTCACACACTCACAAGTGACAGCATCTGAGTCGGCATGAGACACTCCATCCATCATATGCGCGTGTGTATGTCCCCTTTCTCCTCTCATCGCCTGTCTGATTGTCCGTTTGTCTGCCACTGTAGCCACAAATGTTCCCCACCTGCCGTGTGCATCCCTTTTCTTTGTGTGTAGTTTCCTTTATGGGGCGCTCGATGAGTTTGGTGGCGTTCGTGTCAGTTTGGTGAGTCAGTTTGGTGAAATCGATGCGCAAATGGATTGACATGTTGACAAGCAATGAACCAGACTCGCTGATGGATGGATGGAGGAGTGCAGCGTAGCGTGTTGGCGACTGGCGGGCAGACGGACAGATGGTAATGGAAACGACTCTGAATGTTAATGGTGCGGTAGCGACATGATTCAAACCCATGTGCGCACGATGGATGCATTCAATCATGGAAACACAACTGACGTCTCAAACACGCCCAAGGTATCACATCGATATCACGGCACTGTACATGTCTGGGCGTCTGGGCGACAAGGTCACACAACAACTAAGACACAACACCACAAGATAAGACGCTACACAACAGGACTTCAACAAAGTGGCCCGACTATGTACCACACTACCACGCACGCACCCACACGCACCCACACCCACACCCACACACAAGGCGTGCCATACACGGCAAAGGAATGGAGACCCACACACAAGTACCGACAACACGCACGCTCACACGCGCGCGCATTTTTTTTCTCCTCTCACACACACACCCACATCCGCACCAGCTGGCAGCACGCAGGGGGCAGCACGCACACGCACACAGAGTGCCCACCGACTGACTCGGTTGGTCAGCTTAAGGGGTCCCGGCTGACTACTCGTCCATGAAGCACACGCACGCACTTGGGCCGTCACTCACACACTCGACGCAGCGGTCGTGACGGTCATGCTGTCGGAGTCTTGGGCGTTGCGCGCCTTGCCTATCACACGCCCAGCCATCCACACGTGCCTGCCCACAGAGGGGGCCGTTGGCACCTGGACAGACACACGTGGATGTGCCTTCCTCCACTCAACAGCCACACACCACCACAGCCGGGTCACCAGCACACCCAGGAAAAGACACGACCAGCCGAGCATCCAGTAGGGGGGCAGAGCCGCGGGGCAGTGGCCTCCCTCCAGGCTGCTGCTCGCTTCATCGAAGCACATCCTATAGTTGGTGAGGCCCAGCCACGCACTGAAGGTAACAATGGGCAGGCAGAAAGCGGCCGTGAAGAGGCTCGCGCCGATGGCGTCCCAGGGGAAGGTTGACAACCCCTGGTCGTCAAGACGTCGACTCCAGCAGATGCCACCCACGATCATCAGCAGCGGTAGGACGAGGCCCATGGAGATGTAGACAAAGGTGCCCGCCCTCTTATAGCCTCGCCACACAGCAGCTGCCTTGTCGTCGCCCTCCGCCGTGCTCTGGTCGACGAGGAAGCTGTAGGACGCCCAGCACCCACAGGTTGTGTTGTTTCCGAAGCACTGCTGGAGCTCCTGCGGCGCCTCCCACACAGGCGACTCTTCGATAACATGCGGTCTGCACAGGATAGTACTGCCTTCGCCGACAATGTCCAGCGATAGCCGATAGCCGAACAGCCCGAGGTGCTGCGACACCTCCGCGTGTCCATCTTCCAGGAAGACTCGCTGGTCGGATGCTCGCCAGCCAGGCAATGAGAGCGGCACCACAATCGCCAACAGGACAAACAAGGCAGCACCACACGCCGTCGGCCGTTTGCTGAGATAAGCGCACAGCGGCGTGCAGTCGACAGTAGGGCGCAATATGGTAGGGCGTGAAGGGCTCATTGGAAGTGGTTGCTGCCCTCCTCCTCGCCTTTGCCTTTGATCTGTCTTATCGTTTTGTCGCCAGTGTTCGAAACGAGTTTTGGCCATTTGGCGGCGTATGCTGCTGTCTTTCCTCCAAGCTCGCATTGACACAGCATTGACCGTTTGCGCACCCCGCAAAGGATGCACCGACCAATGCATCAACGAGACCTCCAGTGGCCGAAATCATCGACTCTCTGTAGAGGAAGATTCATTGCATTGTCTTGACTAGCGGACGCAGCTGCGGTTGCCTTGTGCGGTTGGGATGGCGGTTGGGAGCTGGAGGCACCTCGATCTGCGTGGTCACGGCGATGCCCTCAATTGCCGCTGCTGTGGTTGCATGTTCTTTCCTCGCCGTCCACCTGTCGGCAGCTGCAGCAGCAGAGTTGGCCCCCGATGTCTGGTCAGAACAAGAGGGCCGTCAGGCCATCACCAACCTGTTGAATGGCGGGCGCAGAGAGGACACGCGGGGGAGGCCAAGACACACAAACGGTACGTAGGCGTACGTGCAGCCACAGATCGTACTGAGGGAGAGAACACTCACTCGCCATCTGTCCGTGTGTCTGTCTGTGTGTTTGAAGGCAAGAATCGGCGCAGACCGATGATGGACGGTGTGTCGTGTATCAGCAGCGCCATGAGCGCCACGGCAGACAGCAACACCACCGCCCCCATCACACAATTCATCAGCTGTACGTCATGCATAGCCCGCCGACAGCTGGCTGCTTGTGTCTTCCCATTCATTCAGTTGACAAGGGCCGCCTGGAGGTCAACCGAGTGCGTGTGCCGAGGTAAGCGTTTCTTCTCTCGCGCATCTCCTTACGCATCTGTCTGTCTGTGTGTCTGTCTGTCTGTCTGTCTGTGGCATACACCTCAGGGACTTTTCTCCCAGAGGCGACAAGACAGGCATCACTGTTTCGCTTGCCGTCGCCCATCGCCCCGGCCCAATGACGCTGCTGCGCCTCGAGTGCGGCCCGCAGCCGCAGCCGATGGACGAATCGGTGGCTGTGCCGGTGAGTTTTTTCCTCACCCACCGGCAAGACCAGCCTCAGCTTCAGCAAGAGCACCAACAGGGCGTGAGGAAGAGGTGTAAGGTCAGGGTGGCATGCGTCAGTGCGACTGAGCGAGTGAGGGCCACCATGCCACCGCCTGACATCGCACCATTCTGATCACCACGACGACTGGCTTTCGAATTTTGGCTGGCGTCTCTGTAGAGTCTGGTGAGTGTGCATGTGGGTTGTTTACGTGCGCATGGGTGGGAGATGGCTGTTTTGTAGTACGAATTAAGCCAGTGGGTCTTTTTCAGTGCTGCTGTCCATTGACATATTCCATTGCAATCGCTCACTCACGGTATTTTTCTCTTGGTGTATGGCATGGTGTATATGTCCAGCTGTCCTTGTCCAACACCCACCCACCCACCATACACACGGACACGGAATGCACTGGCCTACGTGCTTTGTCGTTGAGTGTTTTACGGCTGGACACTCAGTGTACAGTGCTGGCAGGGCGCACACAAAGACGAACTCATATGAGCACAGGACTTGATCAGACGAAGACACACAGATGCAGGCAGGCAGGCAGGCAGGCACTGAGGGATGGAGGGAGGGTGGACTGAGCCATGATGCCTAAATGACGAGAGCCAACAATGACCCAAAAAATCAATCACCATGCATGGTGGATGAACACACAGAAGCACCTACACTACAGCAGACGACCTGCGCCGAAAAATACGGTACACATACACGGTTGACCACTCTCACCTCAGAGACAACATGGGGGAAGAAAAGCAGAAGAGAATGCATCATTCCTGAACAAGTCGTCGACATTCACTACTAGGTGAGTGAGAGAGTGGGCTCTTGGATCGGTGAGTGTGTGGGTGTCAGTCAGTCAGACACTCCCAGCAATCGTTGCGCTTGTCGTGACGGTAATCGTGTCGTCCTGGGGATTGCTGGCCTTGCCGACCACTTGCACAGGCAGCGGCAGCGTCGCTGACTGCCGACCCGACGGTGCAGACACTGTCACACGGGGAGTCGCCAATCTTCGGCAGGCAGCAACCGACCACCACTGCCAAACCACCGCTACACCGAGAAAAAGGCCTGAAGCGCAGATCATGAAGTAGGCGGGCAGACCCAGTGGACAGGAAGCCCCATTCATGCTCCTGTTCCCCTCGTCGAAGCACAGGTCATAGTCGGTGAGAGTTAGCCACACAGCGAAGGCCACAATGGAAAAGCAGAAGGCCGCCGTGTGGAAACCGGACCCAATGGCGTCGTCGGGAAATGGTGGTTTGTGGAAAACCGGGCGCTCAGACGCAGAAGCCCAGAAACCACAGCCCGCTACCGTCAGCAGGGACAAGACGCCGCCAATGGCGATGTACGTAAAGAGACCCGCCGTCCTGAGATCTCGCCAAACAGCAGCTGCCTTGTCGTCGCCCTTTGCCGTGCTCTGTCTGATCAGGAACTTGTAAGACGAGACGCACTCGCAGTTCTCGTTGTGCTTCCCCGAGCACTCCTGGAGTTCCTGGCGGCCCGAATGCCGTGCGCTCGCATCGCCTGGGAGGTCCCATTCGACAAGGTGCGACTCGCATCGGATGGTGGCCCCGCTGCCCACCTGCTTCATCGTGAGGGTGTAGAACTGCAGCCCATAACCCTGACGCACCTCCACATAGCCACCACTCTCAAAAAACGCATGTCGGTCAGCGGCTCGCCACCCAGGCAATGAAACCGGCACAACGACGGCGAGTATCAGCACTCCCAACGAAGAGAAAACCGTAACTGTGAACGCCGAGCACGTCACCGAGTACGAGTCCGCCATCCTGAATCAGCAACACAGATCAGATGGCCAATGGCATCTTTGCGTCCTTTTTCTTTCAAGTTGTGTGTTGCCTTGCCTCTTCCTGCTCTCCGGATCTTCGGCACAATACGTTTGCGGATGCGAGCTCAGTTTCCTTTAGCGGCTGTTTTGCTCCATTTTCCGCCAACAGATTGACATAGGCAATGATTTTCCCTCGGCGAGAATTGGAGACGGGACGGAGAGAATTTGGATGCGAGACAAAAATTTCGTCCCGCTTTTCACATTTTTGCCTCCGCATCGCCTTGCAGCCTTCCTTCGGCCACAGATGCCCCGCTTCTTTTTCTCTTCATCTGCTTTTTGGCTTGTGTGGTCCGCCCCGTCCCCCTCTACCCCTCCCAACTCGAGCGGATTTATCTGCCGCTTGCCACGAGCGCTGGCACGAGCGACTCGAAGGGAGGCGTCCGCCGGCGGCGCCCTGCCCTATGCTGAACGGTGGCGATTCCCTGACGCCTGTCTGGCGTCAACTGAGTGCGCGCACGCTTCTTTTGTCTTCAAAAAAGCATCCTCCCACAGGTGAGTACCTTTTTTTTCTGTTGGCTGTTGCGGTATGGTGTATGACGGTGTATGACTGTATAGTCCGTTTCATTGCTGTGGTCATCTCACTGTGCCCTGTTGGCATGCTTGTGTTCTCTCTCCTAATGGTCGTCTCCTTTTCTCGACGAAGTCCTCAACGACAGCAGATATGGTTTGTATTGGGGTGTGTGTGTGTGTGTGCTGTGCAGGTGTCTCCCCCATGCGAATCGATCCTCAGTCGACGAAGGTGAGTTCAGGAAAAGAAAAGCAAAGCCGGTGAGCGGAAGAAAAGAGGAAAGCTGAGTACATTCTTTTTGTAGCGCCGCCGTAGACGACAAGGCGCGTCCGCGCGGAAGTTCCCCCCCATCGGCAGACTCTCTCTCAAGAAAGAAGGGACAAGCGCCAAAGCTCTCCTCCTCCACGGGAATGGTGACGGGATGTCATGACATATTCATTGCTGCATTGTGTGTGCAGGGGTGGGAATGCTCGAGCGGCTCTTGATCGCCTGCGACGACTACTTCAGGGAGGGCACCAAAATCGCCGCCATCCACTTCGACATGCCGTGGGGCCAACAGTATCACAGCAAGACCTACTCCCTCGACAAAATGGGCGACGGGAGCATGGTACGTGAAGGCACGGACAACGTGTGCCATATGTACGTTTCCCTCTGTGTGTGTGTGTGTGTGTGTGTGTTGCCGCTTATATGACTTGCAGTCGGCCTTCTGTATCCTCAGGGTCGCAGCCTCGCTGGCAGACTCCTTCATCGTCAAGTGCAAAGAATGTGCTCATCGCCGACGTGGTCAGCCGGGGAGGCCCACGTATGTGTGTCGAATGATTTGTATGGTCTCTCTCTCTGTCTCTGTGTGTGTGTGTGGGGG